CTAGAGCGATAAATCATATATAGTGATGAGAAATAACCTGCTTTAAAATGTATTCTCTTTACCGCGGTATAACCACTCCGAAATATAAGCAGGTACGGTACACACATCTATTATACAGGGAGAGGTATGATAGAGGAAATTTTGAGCTACAAACGAGAAAGTCAAATTTAAGAGGATGTTGGCACAATATGAAACCTTTAGCGTTTATGCAATTTCTGAAATAACCGTTCAATTGAGGTTTTAGAGAGCACAAATTTGAACGAGAAGTTTATAAAATAGTTAATGACACCAATGATGTTAAAGGGGGGTTTTTTCGCGTTATAAATTACAACATGAAAATGATAGCAAAAATTTTTTTCCTTGACAGTTTCCCTGTTTTTTCGAATTATGAATACTTTTATGAAACGCTTGGTATAATCTACCAAAAATCATTAGCATTGTGGTGATCGTAGACTGCCACATGTTCTGCCATGTTAAGGAAAAACGCCATATGAACATTCGAGAGTTGCCAAATTTTCTTCGATAAAATGTTTATTTTTAAGGAAAGTTATAAATATCTTTCCTCGGAATTTTCTAGATTTATAGGTGAAATTGCGATTATCATCATCTACAAAATTGGAAGGGTAATACTCATAAATTCACCAGGAAATTCGTGTTTTATCAAAGGAAATTTGGCAGCATCTGATGGCTCATACGGCGTTTTCCCTTGGCACGGCAGTATTGCAGTGTTACCGTAAAGTATGATTCAGTTTTGTCTGATACATTCGTGATGCGATGAGAAATTATCGTTGAATTTGATGGGTGCATCTGCAGTGCTAAGGAAAAACGATGTGAGAACCTTCTAGCCATCGCCAAACTTCCCCTAACAAATCACGAATTTTCGGGATGATGCAAATATTTTTCTTCCAAATTTTCATATATTCCCGTTCGTACTTCGATCTATAGTGTCTAGAAATTTCAATAAAAAACTAGATCACACTTTTTCTCAAAAATAAATATTTCTTGAGAGTGTTTGGCAACATTCAAATGTTCATACTGCGTTATTCCTCGGCACGTTAAACGAAATCGGAACGGAAAGCGGGTGCTTTTATAGAGTAAACCGTCTAATTTCCTTTGTGAAATGACAACGCTCGGTTCTCCTGAGAGCGGTTTCGCTTGCATCCCTGGCGTTAAGAAACCGTAAAAATGCGGATCTCCACTTGACACCACGGGAAAATGACGGGGCGTCAGAGCTGTGAATTCATTGTTACCAGACAGTGCTGAAAATTCAGCACAGTCTACCATCGCAACCATATAAAATATCGAAGTTTTATTTAACAACAATGGCAACCTTGTATGAATTTGACGCAGAGGAGAAAATCGATCACCACTAAAATTAGCAGTATTTTTTTTTTTCATTTCAGGCAAACTTTTAGAAGCAAATCTGAAATTGTGATCGTTTGAAGGAGAGGAGAAAAGAGCTTACGAAATTTCCTGAACTTTTCGATGTGGAGCACTCGTTAATGAATAAAAAAGGAGTTGTCAAGTGAAACTATGAAACAATCCCCCTAACCTTCTAACTCGTTCACTTGGATTTTAGGTCAGTCATATACAGATATTACAGACTTTAGTGTACCAACGCCTTAATTTCTGCATTTTTTTGCTTCATAATCGAAAACAGCAGTCCACTTGTACCCATATTGCCTATGCACAAAAAAACCTTGGAAAAATTATGAGATTCTCAACAATAGCATATAATTTCTCAGCATATTTCTTCAGCTTCAATAGGAAGAAATTCTAGTATCCTTAAGAATTGATGACATTTTTGCTCATTTGTTTGAAAATGCGCACAATTTTGCGGGTCTGTTATTTTATTATAGAAGCTAAACGAATAACAAGGTTGGGAACTGTAAAGACTTGTAAATAATAAAAATTCCTATGTATATAACAGCTGAGTAAAGAAGTAAGAAAAGAGTCTATTTACAACAGAATAATGAATAATGTCTCAAAGAGGAGCGACATTTTAGTAATAATGATGAAATTCTCTCCACGCAACCCTTAATTTGTGTTGATAATATGATCTGTTTCAATGATTAGCGAGACACTGATATGCACGCTATTAAAGTCCATAATACTTTGAGAGAATCCGGTTTAACTATGCTTACCACTATATTTTCTCATATTATCATTCCTTAATTAAGTATCTTCTCATTTTCCTTTTTATCGTACTTTTGTTTGACCTCATCATTGTACAACTTATTATTAACACTCGTAAATATCTCGAGGGGAGGAGATTTTAATTTCACGATAACATGAATTATTTCTCTATTAAAAACAGCAAAAACCCTCGAAAGCTGAGACTTTTTGGTCGATATTCATTTTCATACAATGCCTCGTGGTTGAGATTTAGCCCCGGATAAAATGGCTGCCTTTTCCGCTGCACCTTTTCTGTCATTTGCAGAGCTATCGGTTTGAGCAATTCTCTTGAGAGTCATTTACGTACATTTTGAGCAAATTTTTGCATTCTCTTATTTTCTATTTCTTCAATTACAAAATATTTTAGTGTATTTTTTGTGAAATTTTTCTAAACAATTATTTAGACTAGCAAAAAAAAAAAAAAAAAAAAAAAAAATGCAACGATGCTCAAGATATAAAGCTTTACCAGTCACTTTAATTGTTCTTAACATAATGTACACTGGAGAACTCTCACAACGTAAGCAGATGTATAACACATTAATGGTAAGGGAATGTCTCATTTTCACCCTCTGAAAAATGCATATAATAGCGTAGCTAAAATACCTGATGTCGAAAGTCCCATAGTTTATACATTTTCGTAAAAATCTAAAAACAGCCTTGGAAAATTTAAACAAAGACGTAAATTACAGATCAATGCTGAAATAATTGTATAAAAGCCGGTGAAGATATGAATCTTCCACGGAAAAATTACAAATTTGGCATTCAAGATAAAAACTAGGTACGAGGTATGATTTGGTTCAATCGTAGAGCGTTGATTATAAGTTGAATACGATTACTACCAAGATTATCAAAATGATATGCACGGACTAGATTTTTGGTTTTAGAGTGACCGTTTGTTCACCGTGAGCCTCTAAATGCTGGGCTGAGCGACGGCCTTAAATGCTGAATTTAAAAAATTCTAACTTGGCATCGCATTAGCTGATGCAACGTTCGTGAGATACAAAATGCTTGAGATCTCCTCTCTTTAGAGACATTAAGATTGGATGGTATGTCCAAAGGCAAAAAACGGAAAAATTGAAAGGAATTTTGTTGATAAAAAGTTTGTGGTTTCCCTCACGAAAAAACGTAACTATATTTCAATGTTGCCGAATTTCTACTTGCAAATTGCATTTTTACAGGGAGAATCTCGAGCTTGTACAATTGAAAATTTCCCTGATTCTTCCTTGTGATCTCCTGTGATAATCGGATAAATTTCGGACAAAAATTGCACATTTCTGTAAAACATTTAATTTTTTGAGTCAATTTTGCAACATTTGAACATAATTACGTTCCCTCGTCCAAGAAACGACACATTGGATCATTTCTAGTAATGTTAAAGACTTTTTTTTTTACCAAACGTGGCAAAAATACCTGAAAAATTTATAAAATTCCTTGAAACAGTGAAATTACTAGAAACGGAAAACCGGAAAAAATGAGTAGAGGAGGGGTATTAATAAGAGGCGCTTCTGGGCCCACTTTGAATTTCCTCAACTCTTTGATTTTTTGCCCATTGAAGGTCTATAATTTAAGGAATGCACCATGGTTTGGTCGCCAATTTCATCCTCATTTCGACTCTACTACAGGCCAATTTTTGCGGAAAATGCGGGTCCCCGATCGAATGCAGGAAAATTCGCATTTTTCGCCGAAATCGGCCCCCAGACCCACGTATCGGCCAGAATTTGATCTATAATTAGACCGCGTTAAGCAGAAAGCGTTGCCAAATTAAACACAGGAAAAAAACACATTGGATCTAGAGTCCAGACTCTTAAAAACATCGACAAGAAAGAGTATTCTTGATTCAATCAGAATCTAGCTAAAATCAAGAGCCTAGCCTCTTAATTTAAGCGGATTTCGTTTTGATTCAAGCAACAATCCGATTGAATCAAGAGTATTTTTTCTCGTCAATATTTTCAAGAGTCTGGACTTTAGATCCAATGTGTTTTTTTCCAGTGAATAAAATAGCCCGCTATTTAATCTTTTACATGAAAACGGTTGTGCGGAGTTTCAAGCAAATTTCAGTGAATATTTTTGCATAATACGAGGCAAATTCCCGCAAATTTTGAAAGGAATTCGCACAAACGTTCTTTTGTAAATAATTAAACCGCCAAGTCCAATTTGGTAATAGCTGGTGTGGCTTGGTTCCTTTCTGCTGAACGCGATTCAATTAGAGACCGAAATTGGAATCATGATGCATTCCGTCAAATAGACCGTGGCCGGCTAGCGGGCCGATTGTTGAAATTGATAGACAAAGCTATAGACAAAGAAGACAAAAGATATATGGAGGGATCTTATTGGTGGAAGCGGGTGGTTGCAATAGACAAACGAGGTAGGTAATAGACTAACTAACGGCAACCCACGAGAGACCCGATTGTTAGTCTATCATTTTCACTCGTAGTCTATAGGAACCACCGAATTCAACCAATAGGATAGCTGCATACGCACTATGACTTCTTTGTCTATTGCTTTGTCTATCAATTTCAATAATCAGCCCGCAGGTTGGCTAAGCGGTCAGCGCGTCTGACTCTAGGTCAATAAGTCGCGGCTTCGGATCTCGGTAATGGAGTCAAATTTTCTCAAAATTGACGAGTGGATCTGCTGAAATAGATCCTACTCGACCCTAATTCTTTAATCCCTGAAAATTTGAAAATCCTGGAGCATGGGTGTGTACCAACCATGTGCGGTGGCTGTGTTTGTCTAGCGACTAAGGCCAAACTTAACCCCACCCCTAGAGAGGGCTCCAGCTCTTGATATAAAAAAAAAACATGGACCTTCAATGAGCAACTAAATTTTAGTAATAAGGGTTTTTAGCCAAGGTGGGCTCAAAAACGTCCATTATTGATATGTCGCAGGCAAATAGTCAAATCAGGCATTTTGTCAAATGCATAGGCAAATGGTCTAATCTTCTTGTTTAGATTGAAATTCTGATTCTTTCCCTAATTTTTGACAAAAAAAGCTCGTCGTTCCCGTAAGGAGGAATTCTCTGTAAAAGTATGCTTCGTGCGATAGTATTCGAAACAACTTTTAGCTCCTGTTTATCTGAAGCTTTTCAGCGCATTATAAGATACAGAATTTTTTAAAATTTTAACATTTAGATGTATGATAAGCATTTGAAGAGGAAGAAACGAGAAGAGTTTGTATATTTGATGAGTTATTTTTACTACATATAAAATATTGAAAGCTGGCGAGCTCTTCGACATAAATTTCAGACATTTGGTAAACTGTTCACTGGAAAAAAACAACATTGGATCTAGAGTCCAGACTTTTGAAAACATTGACAAGAAAAAATACTCTTGATTCAATCGGATTTTTGCTAGAATCTCGATTTAAGCTGGATTTTGATTGAATCAACAGCACATTTTCTTTCCGATGTTTTTAAGAGTCTGGACTCTAGATCCAATGTGTTTTTTTTTTTTTTCTAGTGTTAAATTTGACTTTCTGCCCGGGCATTTGACAAAACGCCTGATTTGACCGATTGCCTGCGACGCATACCTACATCTCTTCGGATGTTTTTTTCCCCCTCCTTTTTCCACTTGTGGGTGCTTAAACAGGCTCAGCGTAGCACTCACAATCCTCCGGCTCCAGCTGGTGGAGCCAATTAAATATCATAATATTCCTATCGTACTTGGACAGGGGTTTCCCCCTCTCCCTCTCTACATCCCCTACCGTGAGAGTCTTGCTCTTGTTCACCGCCTTGAGGAGGGTGTTGAGTCCGGACTGGGAATGCGAACGAGGCGCCCCTCCTCCTCCCCCACCCCCTCCCCCTGCGGCCCCGGGTACAGCGAGGAAGGACGTCCCTTGGCTGGGGGTGGATGTTGCTGTGGGCGTCTCGGCGCCCTTTTTAGCGCGGGCGGCCGTGGCGGCCTGAGCGGCGGCCGCTGCTACCCCTAACGTGTCCAGGTTGCATTTGCTCAAAGAGAAGCGCTCCAGTGCTTTGTAGGTCGTCAAAAGTTTCCGCCGGATGTAGTTCTGGCGCACCTGGAATCAAAAGAGAAACAAGGGTTGTTAAAATATAAGTCGACCTCCTGTGCTGCCGCGCTAAGGAAAAACGCCGTATGCACCTTCAGGCGTTGCCAAATTTCGGTTGATAACACACAAATTTCCTGGTGAACTTATGAGTATTTTTGTTCCAATTTTTCAGATAATTTTGTTCGCAATTTCATCTAAAGCTCCTGAACATTTTCAAGGAAAAATACCCGTAACTTTCCTCAAAAATAAACATTTTATTGAAGGAAATTTGGCAACTCTCATATGTTTATGCGGCGTAAAATTAGGAATATTTTTGTTCCAATTTTTCAGATAATTTTCTTCGCGATTTCATCTAAAGCTCCTGAACATTTTCAAGGAAAAATACCCGTAACTTTCCTCAAAAATAAACATTTTATTGAAGGAAATTTGGCAACTCTCATATGTTCATGCGGCGTCCTTCCTTAGCACGGCAGTGTAGTGTAGTGGTGGTAGTGCTTGCTCTAGGATCGGGCGGTCCCGGGTTCGACTCCCGGCTAGGTTATGAGAGTTTGATGGTCTAAAATAACGGTTATCTGGGACTGGCTTGATTAGGGACGGTTAAGTGCAAGATTATCCCTCGTGGGATACTTAAAGTGGAAAAAAAACATCATCAATTTTGATGATAATAATCCATGCAGAGTGTACAAACATTTCAAAATCATGAGTCGAAAAACGCTGACTTCGTGAGTTTAAATATTTGAGTCAAACACAGCGGAGTGGCGTGCTGCCAGCACCAAACGCGCATTGGCGCCTACAAACCTAACCGGGATACTTCACGCATTGCGCAATGCGTGAGGTATCCCTGTTAGGTTTGTAGGCGCCAATGCGCGTGTAGCGCTGAGCACCCTCGCCCGCCGCGCCGCGGCGCTTCAAGCAACTGTTTCGCAACCAAGGTTTTGCTCAGTAATCATACGAAATTGAACAAATTAAATATGACAACCATACTTTAATAGTACGGAGCTTTCCTCGCAAAATAAATCCAGATACTACGGCACAAAAAGAGAGCGGTTGTCCAAAAACTTACCAAGTCCTACCATCCAAACCATCCATATTAAATAACTGTTAGCATACTTTTTGAATTTCATTAGAGAAAATAAAGTGACTTGATTTAGGCAGAAACATTCTTGAGTATGCCGTAACGAAGATTTCATTTTGAACCAAGAATAAAATCGCTGAATGAAAGTGGGTTTCTGCTTCATGTAAGTGACTTTTCTTTATATTTAAGTATCTCTTCCTCTTTAAACAAGCATTATTTTCTTTATTATAATTCACGAGGAAATCTTCTCTGCGGTAAATTTATCTTTATCTTATAAATTTATAATTATCTCTGTTAGAATCAAGTCACTTTTTCCGCTAATGAAGTAAAAAAATCATGCTACACGTTATCGAATACATATCCTAGGGCTTAATAACTACCGTTCTTTTTTATCGTCGTCACTCGATTTAATTTGCGAGGCAATTTCGTTCTTTTGCAGCTAGGCAAATAGAGCTACGTGGTTTGAGTTTCACCGTCGTTTTTTACTTTGATTTTCTCTAGTCGCGCACTGCCGTGCTAAGAAAAAACACCGCATGAGCCTCCAGATGTTGCCAAGTTTCCTTCGATAAAATACGAATTTTCAAGGAAAATTTTTGATATTTTTCTTCCAATTTTGTAGAGAATTCCATTCGAAAAATCTGCAGTTTGTAGAAATTTTAAAGAAAAATTCTAATGACTTTTCTCAGGAATGAATATTTCATCGGGAGAAATTTGGCAACGTCTGAAGGTTGTTACGACTTTTTTTTATAGTACGGCAGTACATTTCAGGGATTTATTTTTATTTATTTGAGGTTGAAAGAGGGAAAATGTTGAACGACGCATGCAAAACGACATAATATAAGCGCGACAATAAGCTTGGAGGTGAAATCCAGGGCGTTGAAATGTCAAAGAATGAGGTTTGTTCTTTCATCCTCAAGAGTTGGTCATTGACCCAAGAAGGGTAAAACTGGGAGGTTTAAAGACTCGGGTTACAAAGAAGATCCCAGGCTCAAGAAAAATCAATTGAAATGAGTTGTCGGGTTTATTTTTATTTATTTTTTTTTTTTTTCATGAAAACCCTCTCGAGGACGTGCCATTGACGCTGTTATATATCTAATCCCAACGCTTTAACCACTATCTTCTGTGTTACAGAGGCCCCCCCCCCCGTGAGCTGGGGGGTATTTCATACCCTCCCAGACAGTGGTGGTAGGGAGACAGGCCCCCCAAGCAAAATGACCTAGTTACGCCTATGCCTAAGAGTTCCATGACCTAAAATCTAAACTTACCAACAAGTTCGTATCTCCCCATACGGGAACTCTACTCTTCCGTGCTAAGGAAGAACGCCGTCTGAGCCATCAACCGTTGTCAAATTTCCTCCGATAAAAGACGAATTTTCAAGAAAACTGTGAGATATTTTTCTTCAAATTTTTCAGACAATTTCGCACACACTTTAATCTAAAATATCTCATTTCATTTCAAGGAAAACTATGCGCAACTTTCCTGTAAAATGAATTTTTTATCTGGTGAATTTTGGCAACTCTCGAATGTACATACGGCTTTCTTCCTTAGCATGGCAGTACTGTGACCCACACGGAAAAAAATTGAATGTTCCTTTGGCATTTATAATGTTAAAAAAATGTGCAACAAGTATAAATGCTGATTTTACAATACAAAAAAACGCTATGTTAACTACGTCCACGGTTCTAAATGAACAAATTCTATGTTGAGTTGGCATTTTTTTAAACGTAAAATCAACATTTGATACTCGTCACACTTTCTTTCGACAGTTTAATGCTAAATCAACATTCAATCGGACGTATTTCTATCAAACGGAACTAAGCGCCATAGGGGGAGGAGGTTAGAGGGGGGCTTGGATTGGCGGCGGAACCAGGCGTTGGACTCATTCCGTCCTATACTCGCAATGCTTTTACATGGCGCTTAGGTCCGTTTGACAGAACGCGCTATCCGGCATCCTAAATTCCTCAAAAGGAACTCAAATTGGCGCTTAGTCATATATATATATATGAGTCGCTTTTATATCGCTCTTTGGCGCTTTACGACGCCTAATCGCCACAAAGCTGGGTCTCTCCACAGGTCATCAGGGAGTTGACACTCCCTCATCTCATTTAACACCCCCTGTCGCCAACCTCTCACTGGGCGTCCCCTACGTCTCCTCCCAGGAGGAACCCAATCAAGCATCTTTTTTGGCAGCCTCTCTTCCGTCATCCTATTGACATGACCGAACCAGACAAGTTGTTTGGTCATGACGTCGAACACGATATCATTTTCGACTTCCATTCTCTGGCGACTTCACCTGCCAAACTTCACATCCCATATCGACGGTGAAACTACCAAACCACTTATCTCGGTTTGCGACGTCGCAGACTTCCTGTCATACTTTATTTTCTAAATGAAAAACTACTTAACATCCAGTCTTGAAAATTTCTGTGATTTTTCCTCTTTGTGCGGAGAAAATTCCGTGAAAATTTCAAGGAATGATATTGATTTGGTCTACTTCAAAAAAATAAAATGTGAGCGTAGATTTTTAAACACCGCAAACGAGATACGTGGTTTGGTAGTTTCACCGTCGATATGCTAATCCATATGACGCTTAGTTCCGTTTGACAGAAATACGTCCGATTTATTTCCGTGCGTGCTGAGCAAAGAAGGAAATCATGAAATCACACTTACTTTTTTATTGACGGATCGGACGAGATCTGCGGGAGAGATGCAGGTTAGGTGTTGCGAAACAGCCGCCGAGGGGTGCCCACCGTGGGGCGACGGGAGCTGGGACGTGGCGGCGTCACCGACAGCCACCCATGTGGAGCAAGAGCGGGAGGTGTTCTCGAGTTTGGACTGACAGAGGAGGTAGCTGTTCTTCTGGGCCGGGGACAGGCTCAGCTCGGAGACAGCGGCACGGAGGCAGCCGGGGCTGAAGGCGTCGCCGAGAGGGCCGAGCGGGGCAAAGGGGGAGCCGAGGGGGGTGGCCCCCGGCCCCAGGCCGGGGTGGTTCGGGATCTGGGCGATGTCCGAAGTGCTGAAGGACTTCTGGAGGCCGAGCATGGCCGAGAGCGCCGCGCAAGAGCGGATCACGTCGTTCTCCTCGTCGCACCATTGCACCTCCGGGATCCCTGGCGGCCTGAAACATAAACAAGGATTGTCGTTAGCACATTCGGTCACCTTGAAACATGGGCGGAGAGGTCCCAATGGAGATGTTGCATGTGTGAGGAATTTGCGATTCGACTGTTTATAATCATGTAAACGTTCGCGAGAAACACGATGGTGCCACTGGTTTTCTCTGGCATCAACTCCCAAGCTCCAAAAAAGCTCTCAACTTGAGGGGGAAAAAAATGAGCTCAAAAATGGAGGGGATAGCCCATCCTACCCTGACAGTACACGTCTACATCAAGACAAACTCTCCATGCAAAAATATGGAGGAAATACATTAGCAGTGATGCCGTGTTTTCAGTTTTAGAGTACCCAAATGAAGTTGCAGCCCTGTCAATGTATTTGCTCCCTATCTTTGCATGGAGAGTTTGTCTTGATGGAGACGTGGACTCTCGGAGTAGGGTGGGATATCCCCTCCATTTTTGCCTCAACTTGAGAGCTTTTTTTGAGCTTGGGAGTTGATTTCAGAGAAAACCAGTGGCACCATCGTGTTTCTCGCGAACTTTTACGTAAGAATCAACAGTCAAATCGCAAATTTCTCACACATGCAACGTCTCCATTCGAACAAGAGAATAGACTATTAGACAAGATGTAAATTTCAACAATTTTTTTTCTCCAGGTTTATTGGTTTATATACTCCGTTAGAGCCCACAACCATCTATGAACTTTTTTGACGGTGAAACTGCAAAAATGCGTATCTCGGTTGCAGTGTTTCGAAATATGCGGTCCTATATTATTTTTTAGAATGAGACCAAACCAACATCATGCCTTGAAGTTTTTACAGAATATTTTCATTAGAAGAAAATAAATCACTGAAATCTTCAAAAAATGACGTGGAGTACAGTGTGTTTTTACCTACTTGCCATGGGCCGCTAATATTTTGCCGCCCCCTTCTTATTCGTTTTGAAACATCAATAAAAACCATCAAATGAACGTGCCAGCGGGGGAGGGGTGCATAAGACGCGTTTACTGGTGTTGAACACATTTTTTGGGTAAGCCCTGCCAACACTACTAGCAAAAATTCACGGAACTTTGCTCGAAAGTTAAGTTTCGTAAACCTATCTCTGTGTGGACAAGGCCTTCCATTCATAAGTAATGAACGAAAAAATTATGAAAGAACAAACATAAATGTGGATTAATGATTTTAACTTCCGCCGCCGCCGCGCCTCGCAGTCCGCACTGTGTTTGACGCAATGCGTGAAGTATGCACGCAGTCTTGTAGGCGCTATGCGTCTCACGCTGATCGCACCGTGTTTGCCGCAATGCGTGAGGTATTCATGCATTCTTGTAGGCGCTATCCGTTTCACGCTGTCCGCAATGACCGCACTGTGTTTGATGCAAAGCGTGGAGTATTCGTGCAGTCTCGTAGGCGCTAATATGTGTTACATGCCGATCGCCGAGCCGAGGCGAGGGCTTCTCCTTTTCACCTCAAGTCCTCGTCATCATTTCCCTCTAGGTAAGTCCAGAGCGCCGTTCCAGGCCAAATTGCGTGTTTGGTTTCTCTCTTAACTCGAATAATTAAAGGTGCTGTCTCTTGTATCACTGAAAGACGACAAAAGTAGAAATTACTATACTCTCAGAAAATTAGAGATTTTGTCGCCTTTTCTCGTTTGTAATTTTTTTTTCTAAATCCGAATTTTTTTTTACCTCCATTTAAAAAAATTGCAGAATTTGCCGCCATGGGCCGCGGCCCATGTGGCCACCCCCTTAAACCGGTCCTGGTGCAGTAGTTTTCCATGTAAAAAATAAAGTATAACAGGAAGTCTGCAACGCCGCAAAGCGCAATTTTATTTTTTACAGAAAAACGTTTGTGCGGGCTCCATTGAAAATTTTAGGGAATTTGCTTCGTATACTGCAGAAATTCACTGAAATTCGCTCGAAAATCCGCACAACCTGTTTCATGTAGAAAATTGAATTGCTCAATCAAATTTGGCAATAGCTGTTCCTCTCTCCTTAACACGGTCCATTTATTGCTCTTATATAGACATCAAAGGATGTTGGCACACCCATGCTCCAGGCTTCTTAAATTTTCAGAGATTAAAACCGAGTTTAATCTTTTCCTGCACATGTCAGCATTGTAATATAAGTTTCCTAACAGGGCCGGATTGAGGGGATGGCCACATGGGCCGCGGCCCATGGCGGCTAATTTAGGGGGCGGCAAACTTTGCATTTTTTCCTAAATGTAGGCATAAACAAAAATCGGATTCAGAGAAAAAAATTACAAACGAGAAAATAAGGCGACAAAATATTTCATTTCCTGAGAGTAGGTATAGTAATTTATAATTTTATCGTCTTTCAGTGATACAAGGGACAGCGCCTTCAATAAAATTATCGAGTTAAGAAAGAAACCAAACACGCAATTTGGCCTGGAGTGGCGCGGCGCAGAGAGTAATGATGATGAGGACTTGAGATGAACAGGAGAAGCCCTCGCCTCGGCGTGGCGGCGGCGGTCGGTATGTAACACATATTAGCGCCTACAAGACTGCATGAATACTTCACGTATTGCGCCAAACACAGTGCGGTCAGCGCGGCGCGGCGGCGGCGGAAGTTAAAATTATTAAACCACATTTATGTTTGTTCTTTCATAATTTTTTTGTTAATTTCTCTTAAATGGCCTTGTCCTCTCGCAGAGAAGTTTGCCGAACTTGACTTTCGCGCAAAGTTCCGTGAACTTTTGCTAGTAGTGTTGACAGGGCTTTCGCAAAAAATGTGTCCAACACGAGTAAACGCGTCTAATGCACCCTCTCCCCTCCGGCACGTTCACTTGATGCTTTTTATCGATGTTACAAAACGAATGAGAAGGGGCGGCAAAATACAGGCGGCCCATGAGCGGCAAGTAGGTAAATCTGACCCTATTTCCTAATCAAAATATTACGTAGAACATGATTCAGCTTACAAAAGTGGCTCAAATTAACTCCTAAATAAGTAATTATCGTTTTCAGTTCGCATTGGTTACGACAAATTTGAATCAGCCACATAATAATGTAGTAAAATTTAAGAGTAATGGCTCTCTTCGCTATCACAGCAGATCTCCTTCCCCGCAGCACCTTGGCCTTCTCCGCATCGTTGACTCGTTGTGATTGCCATCATTATCTTGCTCATCGTCTTGAAAGTAGGTTAACAATGCGCGTGAGCTTAGGGGTGGTTTTCACCTCGTTCCTATCTGACTAAAGGTTATGGAGACTCCAGAAGTTGAACCTCATTCCCACCATCAAAAACTCAAAGAAATTTAAAGGAATTTTAAGGAGAAATTGATGGAATGAAGAAGTCTTATTTCGGTTCCAAAAGTCAATTCTGGAAATATTCGCGTCAAAACTTAGGGACACCCTGAGTATCGATGGCTAAAGTGGAAAATCACATATTTCCATTGTAGGGTTTCAAAGTTGCAGTGGCACCAACAACTCAAATTCGAATGTTTGGAAGATATAAGATCCCTTATCACAGCGGGGCGATTATTAAAACTGATAGACAAAGCGATAGACAAAGATGACATAGGGGGTATAAAGCAATTCTATCGGTTGAAATGGGTGGTTCTCATCGACTAAGGGGGGAAATGATAGACTAAAGCCGGCTCCAGACTACGCGGCATTCGCCGAATATTACTCGCCGAATACCGAATATTTGGCAAGTCCCGCGTAGTCTGGATGGAACATTCGCGTCTACTTGGCTCGTGTTGACGCGAGGCGAGTCACTCGGCTCGGCATTCGCCCCAACCCGCTAAAAGTCGGTTTTTGTGACACGAGTCAAAGGGATCGCGAACACGAAGCCGAGCGTCCATCGCGACATCGGGGCAACATCGGGGTGCCATCCAGACTACTCGCCCTCACTCGCCGAATGTTCGCTATAGTTTTGTAGGAAGGGGGCGAAGAGGTGCAGCGTTTTCCAGTGTATTTTCTTCACTTGGCGAACATTTGTCCTTTCCCATCAGAAATTCGTTATTTACCAAATGACGAGCCAAGTACGACTTTCACGAGTAGTGTGGCGCTGTACACTCGTGAAAACACTGGAATCTGCCCGTCGCTTCCCGAACCCCAAATATTCGTTCTCGGCTCGGTACTCGGCGAATGCCGCGTAGTCTGGAGCCGGCTTAACGGTCGGGTTTCTCGTGGGTTGCCGTTACTTAGTCGATTACCTACCTCCTTTGTCCATTGCAACAACCCGTTTCCACCAATAGGATCCCTCCAAATCCCTTTTGTCGTCTTTGTCTATCGCTTTATCTATCAGTTTCAATAATCGGTCCGCAGATCCGGTCACGCATCGTCGTCCCCTTCCGAAAGAACGTAACTGCATTTCGATGCTGCCAAATTTCCCCTCGCAAATTTCATTTTTATGGAGAGAAACTTGGGCATTTCTAACTGAAAATTTTGCCGATTATTCCTCAGATTTCATGCAAAAATCGGAAAAATGTTGGATAACAATTTGTACAAGTACACTGAAAAAAAAAAAAAACTCCGTCCGTGGAAGCCGTATTTACTGGGCGCTTTCCGGGCTCAGGAGCCGAAAGTTCCGAGCGTAGCACCCGGAATAGTCAAAGCTACGTTTCCAGCACCCAGAACTTTCGGCCTCTGAGCCCGGAACGTAGGTGCTTTGTCAATACAACCCGTAACTTTTTTTCCACACTGAAAAAAAAGAGACGGGCTGTATAAACATACCGTCCGTTTCTGGCGTAGAGGCCGAAAGACCCAGGTGCTAGAGCCGTAGCTTTGACTGCTTCGGGTGCTACGCTCGGAACTTTCGGTCTCTGATTCCGGAACTCGGATGATATGTCTATATAGCCCGTAAGTACGATTTCCACGTTTTTTCAGTTCCACTGAAATTTTAAATTTTTACTCTTAAATATATTATATTATATCACAGTTCCACTGGAGGTTTTTTTTCAGTGCTGGTTCGGGAAACGACCGTCAACTCTGGAACTACTCTAGACACCCGGCTCCAGCACCCGGAACTTTCTGCCTCTGAGCCCGGAGCGGGCGGTATTTCTGTTTAGCTTGTAACTTTCTTCCAGTGTATCTTTGTGAAATAAATGAATGGAGATTTTGCACACAAAAATGTTATTACTTCATCTTAAAGTGCCTAATGAGCTGAGTTCGAAGTATGTGTCATAATTTTTTTCTGAAATGGGAAATGGGAGAAAAATTGATTTGAAAGTAAGGAAATGCACCGCCTAGCGCCATCATCTGGCGGCATTTCCCATTTAAACACATGAATTTAAGCAGATTAGATCATTTTGTCATATCTCCTCTAATAATCGTTCAATTCATGAACCAAGGGTATCCTCGTGGTCAGTTTACTCAGTAGCTTCCACTTAAGCACAAAATCCATCATATTTCAGACGCCTGCAAATTCCTTATTGTTTGGGTCAATTTGGCAACCTTGAAATGGAGTTGCTCCTCGGTCCGGGAAACACTGGAAAAAAAACCACACTGGATCTAGAGTCCAGACTCTTGAAAACATCGACAAGAAAAAGGACTCTAGATTCAATCAGATTTAAGCTTAAATCAAAAGGAAATCCGTTCAAATTAAGAGGCTTGGTTCTTGATTTAAGCTTAAACGGACCACGTTAAACAGAAAGGAACCAAGCCACATCAGCTATTGCCAAATTTAAGTGGGCAATTTAATTTTTAACAAGAAAACAGTTGTAGGGATCGTCGGGAAAATTTCAGTGGATTTTCTACATAGTACGAGACGAATTCCTCAAAATGTTCAAAGGAATCCATACACACGTTCTCTCGTAATAAATTAACTGCCCAGTTGAATTTGGCAATAGCTGATGTGGCTTGGTTCCTTTCTGTTTAACGCCGTCCAAATCTGATTGAATCTAGAGTCCTTTTTCTTGTCAATATTTTCAAGAGTCTGGACTCTAGATCCAATTAGAGTCCCTTTATACTGAGAGTCAAGACAATTCGGCTCATGGATGTCACAAACGGGAATAAAGATTACACAAATTGAACGTTTTTCGTAATCTTTGATCGGCCCATTCTCAAATGCCTCTCTCCGTTCTTCCTCTCATTCCGTTTGTTCCTCGCCGAACCCGTAATTCCCGGGTCCATTCCAGATTATAATCTTTGCAATTGGTGAAAATGTAATCTTTATTCCCGTTTGTGACACTGTGAAGGCCTAAAATACGG